TTCTTTCAGGGTTTTATAAAGATTAAGTGGGCAAAATGGAAAAGAGTACTCTTGACACGATCCATCGCAATGGTTCCATCAGTTCTTGTTGCTGTCTTGGCAACCAAGCAGTTAGACACACTAAATGAGTGGATCAACGTACTACAAAGTATCCAGTTACCATTTGCACTTTTACCAATTTTACATTTTACAAGTAGTCTTAGAATAATGGGAGATTTTAAAAATGGAGGGTAAGTATTGAATTTTTGGTTTTTGTAACAAAACTTTAATTTGAAATGCATTTCTTTCTAATTAACTGTCTTAACGTTTCTATTTTATAGAGTTACAAAAGTTTTAATGTGGGGGCTGGCAGTAGTTGTCATGGCAATCAACATCTACTTAGTAGTTTTGGTGAGTATTGTTTTTTATGCCCAATCATTTAATCCATTTTTATTTATTTAATGAGTATTCAACTTAATTAATGAGCTTTTAACTTATTTCAGCTTGTTCAATACTTTCCATACTGTTTGGTCAAATTTTCAATTCGATATTAAAGTTAAATTGAATTAATTGGACTACAGAATTTAGCATAATAATCCCTCCTTCCTTGGCTGAATTTTTATAAGCAAAATTAAAATTATATTTTTGAGTGGTTGAACTATAACAGAAAAAGTGTGAAGCATGGAAACACAGAATAACTCAAAAGTACTTTCATAATTAATTTGATTTCTCATCAATAAGAAGAAAACACTAAAATTCATTGATGCCGTCTATACATCGCCATATCCTGCCAGGTGGTTGAAATACTAGAAAAAGGTTGTACATCTAATAGGACAATTACAGTAGTTTGCTTAGTACACCGCCTGTGAAATCTGTGCTCACTTATTCATTTATTTAGGCTATCCATGAAGGTTTTCAGCGTGCAATATGTTACATTTATCGTTTCCACAACGAATGTATTCCAAAGTTTGTAACTAGAAATTAAAAACAGATTAAATTTAAAAGTTTCGTATTCAGCATTATTCCATTGTCCAACTGAACATATGTGTGAAATTGTTGCCCTTACTTATCTACCCTTGATTTTAGTATTTCTAAATGTTCTATTAATTATATAATTATTGTTTTTGTACACAGGCAGTACCTGTAGAATGGTATTCACTATTACCTGTGTGTGTCATAGGTCTAGTGTACTGTGCTTTCATAGTGTACTTGGTAAGTCAAATATTTAATAAAGTGTCTTTCCTAAATTGCTTGACTTTTTATCTTTAAACAACGTTTCCTCTGTTAAGAGTTCTCTTATAAACTCATTGCTGTTTTAAATTGTTCATCACAATATATAGTGTGTGATTTGTGA